GTTCTCAACAAGAACCGGTTTTTGATACCCATCCCTAATCTCCCCTGTATAATGTTTAAAAAAACCCATAAAAATAAAGTATCAAAAAAAGAAAAAAGTTCAACACTTTCAACTATTCATAGTGCAAACATCTTTCAGCTTTTTCCTATAGGGGTCACCACTGCAGATCATCTTGCATTTTATCCTATCTCTGCATCTTCCTCTGTCACATCAGCCCTCTGTATGTATCCATGAGCCTCCTCTGAGTTCTCTTTCTTTTGTTCCTTCCTTCCATCCACTATCTCTTCTCTGTACATGCCCAAACCATGTCAGCCTTGTCTTGATGCATGCTCAATCAGGCAAGTAAATCCCAAAAAGTTGATTCTGTTCACATGGGCATGGATTTTTTAGTGGGAGAAACGTTTCATCACTCATCCAACTGACTTCTTCAGTCTCAGCTGACTGCAGGTTTCCAACCTTATAAACAGTACATTTGCACAATGACTGAAACTACCACCACTGGCAAACAATGGGCTTTGAGGTCAGTTTCTTCATTAATATGGAAATTGTCATGACCATTGATCAAAGACCACTGATCAATGGCCATGAGTACCATTCACAGAGAGTTGGGGAATGGCTGCAATCACAGCATTGTGAGATGGTGACAGATGTACCCTTTGACCCCCTCCTCGATTCAGAGATGGTGTAGCCACATTGCCACAGGTGTATAAAATCAACCACCAAACACCATTACTAGCAATAAGGAATGCATTTTCAGAGTGGGAGAAAATGAAATAGTGGCTAAAAAGAAAATCCTTGCTCGAGTGACAGCTTTCCTATCAGGCACTGTAATTCAAGCACTCACTGAAAAGGGGTGGGGGTAGGGAGAGCGAATGTCCTGTCACTGCCATGAGTAAGTCTACCCTTTGAAAGCCACTACTGATAAAGACACGAGCCAGTGAAGAATGCAGGATATGAGTTTAACATTAGCAGCTCTGTTCGTGCAAGCAAATCATTAAATAGGGCCAGAAAAGGAGGGAGGCTAAAGACAAGCTTTGAAAGATGGATACAGAAAAGAAGAGATGCTATCAAACTACTTATACTTAAAGTACTCTAGAATATGTGTATGCATTGCTAGCTGTTCAACAGTATTTACAGCCTGGCAATTTCTGCTCTAGTTATCTAGATATGACATTGCTCACGAGATTGTTTTACTGTTTTTTTGGCAGTAAAATATTATAATGATAATTTTATTAAATGTAAAGAAAGACTTTTGCCATGAAGATGAATTTCAAAGTCTTCAAAAGAAAAATCCCAAAACACAGCTTGCTCTGTCATTTTGATGTCGCCTGTCATCATTTACACAACACTAATACAATGATTAAGGCCAACTGAACAATCACAATTCTTGTATTGATATGCATCAAAACATCCCACCTTAAAAGTTGCTTCTGAGTGAATGCATATTTACTGAAATGTAAATTTTCTGCGGAGGAGTTCACATGGTCACAAAAAATAGGCAGTTGTGTTTGCATGGATCCTCATACTAATAGTACAAAGCCCCAAGTGTGATGGAAGAAGCATCGTTGAGTGCGAGAGGAGCTCGCTACTGTAGCCGGTTACCAAGATTATGTGAGGTGCCCTCTGAAGGTCTACTAGATGATGTAAATGCAGCACTACTGACTATACCTACCGCCACCATTACAGAGACTAACAAGTTGATCTACACTACGGCAGCAGTAATCAGTGAGATGCTTGGCTACAAGTTGAGCAGCCACAAGGAGCAGTACCCTCCATGGAGAAGATGACTAGAGGCTAAGATCAAGGTAGCATGGAGGGAAGTAAGCCAACTATCGGAGCTGCATAAATGGGCAGTGAAGAAGGTGCTTAAGAAGTACAGCAAGCTGTCCATATCTGAGGCCTTGGAAACTGTCAAGCAAAGACTCACAGCCTTGGTCAGCTGCTTGAAGAGGTACACTAGAGAGATAAGAGTTGGTCAGCAATAGGTCCTGACATGGTTCATGCCTACTGGCTCAAGAAGCTGACTGCACTGCATGAGTGTCTTGCAGCATAAATGAACCAGCTGCTAGTAAATGAGAGACACCCAGAATGGCTAACTTAAGGCCAGACAGTTCTGATCCCCAGGGACCCCCAGGTCCCCTCCAACTACGGACCAATAACCTGCCTCAGCACCATGTGGGGCCAGTCCCATCCACCTAGAACCCGCAGAGGGTCAGGCACCAGGGACTGGTGAGTGTCAGTACCACGGTCCAGGATGAGACAATGCACATCCATGAGTACATCAGGAAGATGGCCCCAACCGACCGTGTGCTCAGTGAATACCTCAGGCAGCAGAAACCCGAGGAAGAGGAGGAACCATCATAAAAGAACAAGCCCCTGCACGGTATGTACCACCGGCAGATAGAGGAAGCGGCTGACATCCAGAAGTCCTACCGGTGACTGGATAAAGCTGGACTGAAAGATAGCATAGAGGCACTAATCATGGCAGCACAAAAACAAGCTCTGACCACAAGACCCATCTACCACACCAGGCAAGACCCCAAGTGCAAACTGTGTAAAGATGCCCCTGAGACAATCCAGCACATATGGTGCAAGATGCTGGCAGGCAGGGAATACATGGAACACCACAACCAAGTGGCCGGCATAGTGTACAGAAACATCTGTGTCGACTATGACCTGGAAGTCCCGGGGTCAAAATGGGAGAGGTCAAGGGTGGTAGAGAATGACTGTGCTAAGATCCTGTGGGACTTCCAGATACAGACGGACAAAATGGGATGGCTATCCAACTAGTTATAGTAGTGGTGGACAAGCAGAGGAAGACGGCTGTAGTGATAGATGAAGTGATACCAAATGACAGCAACATCAGGAAGAAGAAACACGAGAAGCTGGAGAAGTACCAAGGGCTCAGAGAAGAGCTCGAAAGATGTGGAGGATGAAGGTAACAGTGGTCCCAGTGGTAATTGCAGCACTAATGACCCCAAGCTAGGCGAGCTGGCTCCAGCAGATCCCAGGAATAAAATCTGAGATCTCTGTCCAGAAGAGTGGAGTCCGAGGAACAGCTAAGATACTGCGCAGGACCCTCAAGCTCCCAGGCATCTGGTAGAGGACCCGAGTCTGAAGGATGAATACTGTGAGAGAAGGGAATTTTTTACAAGCCACAAAATGTTTTAGCACTGATAAAAATCACAATGTAATTTCCCTTACAAAACGAATCTCTCCATAGAACATTTTTGTTCAAAAGTCAATTTTGTATGTGTTTATTGATATTAATAGCTATTAATAAGCTATTAAGCTTTAATTTAATTTTAAGTTTTAAGTTTTAATTAAAACTCTAAGAACCTTTGTTTTTTTGTGAAATTTGTTTAGGCAGTATGGATGTTCGAACACGAAGTGGAGGGGAAAGAGGGGCAGAGCAACACATGAGGACATTTTTCTTCATACTTGAGAAAATTTCCACCTAACAACTTGTGTAAAATGTTATGTTTTATTTGTGTTATTATTAGATAACATATTAAATATTATTTTTCATAGAATTTTAATTTTGCTATCTCGCTCTACATATCTCTGGAATAAGTAAGAAAGAGTTTAGGATGTGTTGTTAACATAAAAAGCTGGTAAATTAACTTATTTAAAAAAAAGGATTATACAGTAATAGGGCAATTTTTTCTTTGTCCTGTTGAGCCTGTTGTGTGTTTTCTGTTTACACATGCAGGCTGTCGGTGACACTGTCTTGTCCCTTGGATCTTACGCTTTTCCCAATGGACACACAGCTATGCAAGATGCAGCTGGAGAGTTGTGAGTATATTCCTGATCTAGCTGCTCTCTCCGCCCTTGTTATTTCTTGAGCTTCTCGCCTTCCTTCCAGCTGATGTTGCTGACACTTGTTATAGCTACATCTATGGCTGTCTTCCTCTGCTTGTCCACCATTACTCCTCGAGTTCATTAACCATCTGAAGTTTGTCTGTCTGAATACAAAAAACTAAATATACTATAAGAGGAATAGAGCTCCGATGCAGCCATGGGTATAGCTGCTTCTGAAGGACTTGGTCAGATTTGTTCACTTATTGGGGTGAGGAGTGGAAGGTAAGTGAGTAGAGCTATGCTGTAGAGATGAGACGAAAAATATATCAGCAGCGTTGAACACAGCGTGCTACTAAATTGCATTTTAATTGCTAACTCTCTGCCAATTTACTCTTTGACAACTTAAAAGGTATTAAAAATAAGAATTAATGATACATTTCAAAACTTCAGCACTCTGTAGGAATGTGAAGAAGACCTGGAAAGTTTGCAATATTTTAAAATTAAAACTACAATTAAATGAAATAATTAATGAGAGAACAAAATTTCTGATGCAAAGGCTGTGATTGGGGAACTTTGAACATGGTTATAAATCTGGAACATCTTTACCAGTCTTATTTATTAGGGGTGCAACGATACTCGTATCGATATTGAACCGTTCGATACAGTGCTTTCGGTTCGGTACGCATATGTATCGAACAATACAAAATTTTTAATTTATTTTATCAACTTTCCTTCTGACGATGCTGTCTGTGTTGAGCGCTCAGTGGATCTGCGCTCGACAGTGCAGCCTAGGCGGAGTAGTCGAACGCAGATTCACTGAGCGCAGGGCAAGCTAGCGAGACAGAAGTTAAGCTCTCCTTGCAACATGGCAAATTGAACCTCCCCCACCCTCATTCAGATCTGGCGTTTGGAACTATTTTGGTTTTCATGTGACGTATGACCCTGAAGGTAAGCGCGTCATGGACTAAAGTAAAACAGTATGTTGGATGTGCCACGCAATGCTCAATTACATGGGTGGGAACTAGTGTGTTAGCGCAGTTAGCTCGTTAACGTGTTGGCCGTCCAGCCCCACGCACGGGCGATCCGCGGTAGCTCGTTAACGGAGATTTGCCGTGTTGTGGCGTTAACGTCATTTCAACAAGATTTACGCTGACAGCACTAGTGGGAACACAACGAATATGACTGCACATTTACGCCGACATCATCCTAGTGCAAAGACAAGTGGAAGCAGACAAAAACAACAAGCATGCATGCTACAAACTTGAGTCATTTAGACAGCCGTTAGCACATGATTCTCCTTATGGGGACCTGATATGTTTAATATGCTGCTGAGAATATAGCCCAGAAGAAGCGTATAGTATAGCTTTTATTTTGGAAAGAGCCATTTCTCTGTAATAAACTCTCTTTTCCAAAGATGAGTGATTCCTCAATCAGATACAGGGCTCGCAAAATCGCCTGCCCGACGTCCCGGGGCTAGCGATTTTTCCAGTCGGGCTACCAAAATCTATCTCTGCCCTGCCCGTCGGCCTATCGTAGGAAGGAAAAATATATGTCAATGCTTTTGCATTCTTTTGGAAATGTAGCTGGGTAATTATGTCATTGGCATCGGTGAGCCACTGTCAATATGTGACATATTGAAATCGCGTTTGAATTTGCGCTTGTTTTTTGCTTTCACTTTGCAATCGCACGAACTGTGTATAGAGAGCGACAGCACTGATTGGTGAGTGATGATAATTTGCGCACCAATTCCTCTGACATCGTCTCATCAATCGTTAGCTTACTATGCAAACATGACAAGTGAAATCTCCCGCAGCAAGCTTAAACATGTGAGAGGTTGATCGCGCAGAGAATCGCTGAGCTTATGTGAGTGCGTGTGTAAAAGCAGCAGGATATATATTTTAGTTCTGCTGAGCCAAATAAGACAGGTCAGGGTGAAGAAGTGACAGCCAAAGAAAAGCTTACCACAAAACGGAAAAGTTATGACAAATCAGACTATAAGGCAAAAAGAAAGTGCAGCTTTATGGTTTCATGGACAAAAGAATTTCTGTGGCTGCAATATGACGAGCTAAATAACCAGGGCTGCACATAAGTGGTCCGCAGGTGCGCATTCGCTGTCAAAATAAAAAACGCGCACAAGATAAGAAGTTGCAACGCGTGTTTGCGTACATAAGATTTTCAGGAGGAGGACAGACATTTGTTTAGAACTCTTAAAGATGTCGAAGAAGCTCCTTTAAGCAATTACTGTGATGTTCCTCCACCTCCAAAGAAATGTCAGGAGTCCGAACCACAAAAGAAGCGCGTATTCTCGGAAAAGTAGTTGCAGGAGGTGAGCTGGCTTCAAACAAATGATGAACGCACAGAGATGTGGTGCGGAATGTGCCGTGAAAATTTAATAAATGACAAATTAAAAAGGCATGAACATTTTTTTTGTATCGAAAAAATATCGAACCGTGACACCAAAGTATCGAACCGAACCGTGAATTTTGTGTATCGTTGCACCCCTACTAAATAGCTAAAGCACTGTCAAACATATGCATATGGCATTGTACTATATCATTATATTAATCCCTTTACTATAGTATTCTTTTGTTTTTATGTTTTAGTTTCACTCTGATTTAATGGTATGTGTCGGTGCAATGTAAAATAAAGCATCGGGAGCTGGGATGCTACATCCTGACTCCTGTATTCTTTTGCATGGAGTTTGGCTTGCTACTGAATTGTGGACCTACGCACACATGCAGACACAAGGAGAGCAGTACATTGAAAAGATGGATATGGAGCTGAATAAAACTACAGGGTGGGCCATTTATATGGATACACCGTAATAACATGGGAATGGTTGGTGATATTAAAGTCCTGTTTGTGGCACATTAGTATATGTGAGGGGGCAAACTCCTCAAGATGGGTGGTGACCATGGTGGCCATTTAGAAGTCGGCCATCTTGGATACAACTTTTGTTTTTTCAATAGGAAGAGGGCCATGTGACACATCAAACTTATTGGTAATGTCACAAGAAAAACAATGGTGTGCTTGGTTTCAACGTAACTTTATTCTTTCATGAGTTATTTACAAGTTTCTGACCACTTATAAAATGTGTTCAATGTGCTGCCCATTGTGTTGGATTGTCAATGCAACCCTCTTCTCCCACTCTTCACACACTGATAGCAACACTGCAGGAGAAATGCCAGCACAGGCATCCAGTATCCGTAGTTTCAGGTGCTGCACATCTCGTATCTTCACACCATAGACAATTGCCTTCAGATGACCCCAAAGATAAAAGTCTAAGGGGGTCAGATCGGGAGACCTTGGGGGCCATTCAACTGGCCCACGACGACCAATCCACTTTCCAGGAAACTGTTCATCTAGGAATGCTCGGACCTGGCACCCATAATGTGGTGGTGCACCATCTTGCTGGAAAAACTCAGGGAACGTGCCAGCTTCAGTGCATAAAGAGGGAAACACATCATCATGTAGCAATTTCAAATATCCAGTGGCCTTGAGGTTTCCATTGATGAAGAATGGACCCACTATCGTTGTACCCCATATACCACACCAAACCATCACTTTTGTTGTAGTTCCAACAGTCTTGGAGGATCCATCCAATGTGGGTTAGTGTCAGACCAATAGCGGTGGTTTTGTTTGTTAACTTCACCATTCACATAAAAGTTTGCCTCATCACTGAACAAAATCTTCTGCGTGAACTGAGGGTCCTGTTCCAATTTTTGTTTTGCCCATTCTGCAAATTCTGTGGCCTGATCTGGGTCATCCTCGTTGAGATGCTGCAGTAGCTGGAGTTTGTAAGGGTGCCATTTGTGAGTAGCTAATATCCGCCGAAGGGATGTTCGACTAATGCCACTCTCCAGTGACATGCGGCGAGTGCTACGCTGTGGGCTCTTGCTGAATGAAGCTAGGACAGCCACTGATGTTTCTTCATTAGTGACAGTTTTCTTGCGTCCACATTTTGGCAAATCCAACACTGAACCAGTTTCACGAAACTTAGCAAGCAGTTTGCTACTGTAGCATGGGAGATGGGTGGTCTCGTAGGGTGTCTTGCATTGAAATCTGCTGCAATGACCCGGTTACTGCGTTCACCAGATATCAACATAATTTCGATCCGCTCCTCACGTGTTAACCTCTTCGACATGTCAATGGCTGTGAACAAAGAGAAACTTGTAAATAACTCATGAAAGAATAAAGTTACGTTGAAACCAAGCACACCATTGTTTTCTTGTGACATTACCAATAAGTTTGATGTGTCACATGGCCCTCTTCCTATTGAAAAAACAAAAGTTGTATCCAAGATGGCCGACTTCTAAATGGC